AGTGCAGAATTAACACAAATTCTAATCTCAAATAATTAGAGCCAATTTTCACACTTACCAATTTCGTCAAAAATAATGTACCAGTGAGTAAACTGATAAAACACACTGATAAAGTCAAAAATCAACAATAAAAATTTTCAGAATTCAATTTGACGAGAATACTTAGCGTTAGAAATCGCACAAATGTGAATTTCTTCCTACTTTTAATATTCCGCCTCAATTTGGTTCTGGTATTCATGACTGTCACCTTCATCGTATTCACCTTCATCCTCTACGGTAGCATCCTGGTACTGCTGATATTCCGATACCAGATCATTCATGTTGCTCTCTGCCTCGGTAAATTCCATTTCATCCATCCCTTCACCAGTGTACCAATGAAGGAAAGCCTTACGACGGAACATCGCTATAAAGCACATTTCATCTAGTACATCACATCTGTAGGTGATAATAAGATATTCAAATGCTTGCGATCCCCAGTCACTAAAAGTAACTAAAAAAGAACACACCAGTAAACTGCTCCGAGATACGTTTGAAGATCTCCTGAATAGCTGTCGAATTACCAATAAAAGTGGCACTCATTTTCAAGCCGCGTGGTGGAATATCGCAAACAGCTGTTTTGACGTTGTTCGGAATCCATTCCACGAAATACGATGAATTCTTGTCTTGCACGTTGAACATCTGATTGTCCACTTCCTTAAATCAATACTGTACCCAAAGAACCTATGGAATTGAAAGAAAACATTATTAAATAAGTGAGGAGAAAGAATATCATCAAATGAATACTGCTGTATTTGACGCTTACTTACGCTCCACGCTTCACGCTTACGCTTACTAAAAAGACGCTCACTAAGAAAAAAAACATACACGCATCGACATTATGCCCCTGAACATAACCGCAACCGTAAGGTAACGGCCATGTCGTGGATCACATGCTGCCATCATGTTCTTTGCATCGAAAACCTAAAATATATCATTATTATTACTAACGGGAAAGACTTTGAATTAATTCGAACAAAAGTTGAAAAATCATGAATTCTCCAAATATATAATATGATTAATTGAAAAAACTAACCTGTTGCGTAAGTTCACCGACCGTAACAGCGCGATAGGCAGCTGCGCCGCGTGCAAAAAGTGGTGCAAATCCTGGTATAAAGAAATGCAAACGTGGGAACGGAACCATATTTACCGCCAATTTACGGAGATCAGCATTAAGTTGGCCAGGAAAACGAAGACAGGTTGTCACTCCAGACATTGTCATTGAGACTAAATTATAACAAATCACACTATAAATCCTATCCAAATTATCTCAACAATGTTATAGAAACAAATTTGAATACAATGTAGGGGTGGTAAGTTAGAAATAAATGATGATATAAAATACCCAAATGGTTGAGATCGCCATAATTGGGATTTGTTAATTTCAAAGTTCGAAAACAAATATCATACAACGCTTCGTTGTCAATACAAAATGTCTCATCTGTATTTTCAACTAACTGATGAACTGACAGAGTAGCATTGTATGGCTCCAGCACAACATCCGAGACCTATAATCAAG